TATGCCACCAAGTAAAACCCACAGTGCTAGGGTTGACTCCTTGGTTAAAGGGGTCCCATCACAGACAATTTGCAAGGTTATTGGTTGCTCTCCACAACCTGATGGTAAGGCCCTATGGCTGAAGACATACTTACTTATGTCATTGAACATTGAGAATCGAGCTGGTGCCTACTAGAAGCTTCACTTGTACAGACCAGCAGTACTACCAGTAACTTTGTGGTACTAGAAGTTACTCTGCAGACTGTTAGAGGATTAAAGTGATTGTCAATATCACCCAGCTACAATCCCTGCTACTTACAGTAATGACCTGCCTGTAAGATATAGTGGTGCAATAGTGGCACAAATGTTATTAGAATAAACATCCACTTTCTGATCAGATTTAAGGCCCAATCCATGAGGTGGAATCCATGCTTGACATTGCAAAAATGGCCAAGAACGCGAGGCTAAAAAGGTCACAGAACTAGGGAAAATTCTGCTAAAGGAACGTAGCAGTAAGACAACTCCTAATGACATTCTGCTATAACCATCGATCAGTTTCTTGCTCAACCCATACTAGAGAAGCTTCTTTTGCAGTAGATGATTCACAACTGGATGGTATACATAGAGTGAGAAACTTTGAAGCACTCAGTCCTAAACAGAATTATCCATCAAAGCTCTTCCCTCAAGGCTCAGGGATCTATGCATAAGAGGAGGTGCAAAGATGGTAAGAACCAGAAGTGACAAATGACTACAAGAAAACAGTCTTCCAGACACAACAATACTGACCCACAAATGAACAAAGAATGACTGTGACAGCCCACACAAGATCCTCACAGGCTGAGGACAAATAAGGTGCTAGCATTGAGAAGGAGAAGAGGACATGGGGTCTCATTGCTAATGAAGAAGCTATCTGCAATTGATACCCACTGGCAAAAGGAAGATCAGTTTCCTTTAATGGAGTCATAGGATATACCAACCACACTTCAGGTCAGGCTCTGTGCCAAGAAGCAGTTGGCCCACACAAAACAAACTCAAAGGTATTCTTAAGTCGTTTCTTTGGGCATATTTTTCCTTATTTGTTTTGTTTGTTGTGATTTTAATTTTTGTGTTTCTTGTTTTATTGTATTTTGTATTGTATTTTTATAATAATACAATTCTATTGTATTTATCTTTTCTTTTTTGTTTTTGTTAGAGAGAGGGAACATAAGTTGGCTATGCAAAGTATAAATAAGTGGTGGTGGAGATCCGGAGGGGACATTGGGAGAAGGAAAAACATAACCAAAATATATTGTATAATTTTTATTTCAATAAAAACTTGGTAAGCATTCTTAGGCACCAGGGAAATGCAAACTAAAACTACATTAAGAATACATCCTATCCTAGTCAAAGTGGCTCACCACCAAGAATCTAAATAAACACATGGTGTGGGAAGTTCTTCTGTCTATGTGTTGCTTTTATTGGTTAATGAATAAAGCTGTTTTGGCCAGTGGCTTAGCAGAATAGAACTAGGCAGGAAAACTAAACTGAATGCTGGGAGAAAGAAGGCAGTCAAGGAGAAGCATGGAGCCTCCAGAGGAGAAAGACACGAGCCACCAGTAGTAACCTTGCTGGTAGGCCACAAGTCTTGTGGTAAAATATACAATAATAGAAATGGGTTAACAAAAGATATAAGAGCTAGCTAGCAATATGGCCTTGTTCTACATGTGCGAGAAATCTAAAGAAACTGAATAAGTACTATCTAGTATCTCACAACCAATTTTGGTGTAGATGACTTGTCCTCAAAAGTAAAATAATGCATTCTTAAGTACATAACACTAAAAATTTAAACAGCATTGAAATTGTTTGTATTTACATGCAAAATAGAGAAGGTGCCTGAGTCTGTGTAGATTTGTTCTACTTAGTATTCCTTACATACTTTTGGAGGGTAATGATTCCACTTTTAGAATTTTTTACTTGAAAATTTTACTTGTGTTTGTATTTTGTATTGCATTTCAATATAATTTGAGCTGGATAGACAACTCATTCCTTACCCCATCCTTCATACTTTGGTTGAGGAATATAAAGAGCATACATTTAGAATAATACTACGATGATTTGAATGAGAAATATACACCATAGGCTCCGGCACTCGAAAACGTTGAGTTGGTGCTGCTGTTAGGGCAGGGTTTGGGAAGATGCAGTCTTGAGGGAGGAAGTACATCACTAGGAACATGGTTTGAGAGGCGATACTGGCTTTGCTTCCAGTTATCATCCTCTGCTTGATGTCTATAGGGAAGATAGGATCTCTGAGCTTCTGGCAGGCATGCCTCCTCTACCATTATTGACTTTACTTCTGGAACCCTAACTCCAAAATAAAGTCTTTCTTTTATGGCATTTTATCAAAGCAATAGAAAAGTAATACAGAAGTTGGTAGCAGAGAGTGAGATGTTTCTGTTAAGAATGTGATCATGGTAGGTCTTTATTTATTTATTTATTTATTTTTTAAATTTGAAGTAGTATAGCGTTAGGGCTATTCTATTCTAGCAGAAGCCTGCATGACAGTGGTATTGAAATCAATGCTTGACATTATTAAAAAATTAATTTTTTAAAACATGCGAATAAAATTTCGCATCAGCCAGTATCTAGATTTTCACCTTAATCTGAGTCTTATCAAGTACAGAGGTATCAAGCAGGGTATATCTCTCTGTTGTGTGCCATTTGGCACCGGTTGCCAGGGACAGAGGAATTCTATAGGGGCAGAAGCAGCATGTTCCTGGTATTTAGCTGCCAGCTGCCTTGTGGGGTTATGTTTCATTTTTGTTTGGTTTCGTGGCACTGGGAACGGAATCCAAGGCCTCAGGCACAGGTGAGCAATGTCTACCTAAGCTACAACTCTCGCACGGGATTTATTGAGCTAAATTTCAGGTGTAGCATTTTAAATGCAATGCATAAACCCAAGGACAGAGAATGAGAGCACTTTTCAATGTATTTCCAGAGGAAAAAGTGATTTCGAGCGAAGAATCATAAATTTCATAATGTTAAAAGCATTCTAGTTGACATTTTTAGTACCAAACCATTTTGATAGTGGGATTTAAGAAATGTTTTCTACGACTTATACTACCTTTGTGACAAGGGTGTTAGGCAAACTTGCTCACTTTTTTCAAATAGAAGTAATTACTATAGCATTTTGTGCTATCCACAGGGATTCAGCAAGTAGCTCAGAAATTATTGGTAAGAATATCTGGGATTCACTGTATATCCGATATTCTTTAATAGTGATACTTTTCAATGTTTTATAATCTGTTCATAACTGTTAATAGTGGTTCAAGTGTAGCTCAATTTCCATTTCAAAACTCTGAAAAGCCTTCCTGGGGAGCCTGACAGGGGTGATTTAACTTAGCAAGGAGATGGTGCATTTTAAGAGACAATGAGATAGTTCTGTTTCCAAATATTTAACTATATTTTCTTGCCTACAATGTTTGAAAATTCCACAGCAGAGATAAGAATGATCTACTCTGAATAGTCACAGAAGAGCTATGTCTAATGCAAGTGTGTTAGGTTGGGGCACGTCTCCATCAATTACAGGTGGATATAAGTGGTGGGTGAGGATACCAGGCTTAAAGGAGAACTGATGACTCAAAACTGCAGAACTGTTAACAAGCCATGTTATGCTCTGAGCTGAGCTCTGTGCCTGCACAGCCACACTTTCCCCTTCTGTATCAGAGCTCACTCACTCCTGCCCTGCTTCCTGTGTCTCCAGCCACAGCTGCCAGGTCGTGTTCTCAAGTGATCAGCTGAAAGTCAAGGAGTCAAACAAGCTGAGCCAAGTTCCTGCCAGTTCTCTAGCAGGGGAGTTAGTGAGCCCCAGCATCACACATGATTTGTTGAAGAACTCCTAACTCCTGGGTGGTGGAGAAGACACACTTAGAAGTAGAGACAGTCCTTTACTGGTGCGATGAAGTGTTCAACACTGGAAACTGAGGTGCATACCACTCTATTCAAATCACTAAGACGGTATGAAAAATTAGGTTTTGTATCTATCTAAATCAAGCAGTGTGTAACCAAATCAGGGATATTCTAGAGATGACTGGTTAATCTAACCCAGGAAGATGATGACTTTAGTATCCCTGGAAGACACCCAGAGGGTCACATCAGAACGGAATCCACTGGTGATGTGGCAGAAGGAAAAACAAGTTCTAACTCAGTTAAGTATGATTGGAAGGGATTTACTAATAAGCTTGCTTAGAAAGTACTAAGTTACACTGAAATAAGAAATTTAGCTGAAAGGTTCTGCCTCGATTGTTGTTCAGATATAAGTTCAAGATAGGTAAGATGCTAATCAGGTTCTCCTGGACTACAGGAAAAGATAAAAAATGAATTGAAGTTCACACTTCCGACTTAAGTTTGGATAAGGTCTGTTGAGTTCTGCTTTACCACAGTCTGTTCGTCAAAACTGCTTGTTCTTGTATCTGGGAAGGTAAACATTTGCCAGACAGCCTCGAGAAAGGGCCAGTGTTCCACAACTATTGGTCTTGAGAGCTGATTCCTACAGCTCTATGAATAAGTAAAAGGCTTTGTTAGTGGAAAAATGTCTTATTGATAATTGCCCAGAAAAATGTAACTTCTGGCAGGAAATCTAATAGTCACCTGCAGGTGAAAGCTTATGCAAGCTTATAACCTGTGTCTCTGTTGAGCACTCACTAGGACCCCAGTAGTAAAGACTCCCCCCTTTCTCTCCCTCCCTCCCTTCCTTCATTCCTTTCTGCCCTTTTTAAATCTCTAGATGCCTGATTGGGTTGGAGGGAGGGTATTCTCACAGACAGAGCCTTCATTACCTGATATTGTCTGGGACAATGATTCCAGGTTCTGGAGTTCAAGTCTTCAAGAGAATGTGATTCCTTAAAGGCCCGAGTCTCGTGGTCATGAGTTTAAGAACTGAATCTATGCTCCACAAGAAGATGAGCGCAGGGGTGGGCTCATCACCATTGTTTTCATTTGATCCTTCTAGCTTTCTTTCAGCACCCCCACACCCTAGGACTCACCTCTGCCTGCCAGATGGGGTTCACAGTGTTGCCTCTGATCGTGGATCTCCTCTCTTGCCCATGATGAGGGAGGGCTGGAAAGATGCTGTGTTTCCCAGGCTGAATGGAAATCTTCAGATAAGGGTCTGGGTTGAAAAACATCCCCTTCTTCAACCCCATGGCTTGGAAATCTATCAAATAAATGACATTCTATTTAAGTATATTTTAGTGAGCTTGAGTACCTACAAGTCCTATACAAGACCAGATAATTCGAAACATTGATGTGGTGGTTTAAATGAGAAATGTCCCACATAGTTTCAGATATTTAAACACTTGCCCATAGTTGGTGGTACTCTTTGGGCAGGTTTTGGAAGGTGCAAGATGTCACTAGGGACAGGCTTTGAGAGCCTCACCCTACTTCCAGTCCACCCTCTGCGTGGTGTTTACAATTGAAGATGTGATCTCTCAGCTTTCTGATCCAGCCACCTACTGGCATTTCTCCCCGCCATAATGGATTCTTTTCCTTCTAGAACCATAAATTTGATATAACTCTTCTGTAAGTTGCTCTTGGTAATGTTATTTTTTTACAGCAATAGAAAAATTAATTTCTATTTTTATAATGTTTAGACTATTTTTCATCTCATTACAAACAAGGACTGGTGTGTATATACACAGAATTCCATTTGGAACATTTCTGGCATATGTTAAATTGTATTTGGGAAAGAAATCCTTGCTATATGTCAGTTACTGTGGACACTTTATTTTTCATGAGAGGACACTGGCCCTGATTGGACTGGGTTTCTGGTGCTCCACAAACAGATTAAGAAGAAGAGAATGAGTAAGAGGTTGGGTGTCATCAAAGGTGGTGGACATGGAAGAAAACTAACTGGAAATGTGTTAGATAAAAGATATAAAGTTTTTCACAAGGTAAAGACATAAGAAAACCAAGGGTAGTAGTTTTATAATAAATGTGGCTTTCATTGAGTAAGGATAAATTGAAAAAAGGATTTGAAAGAGCAGAGACCCATGGAAGAAAAGTAAGCACAACCTCCATGGAGCTAGACTTCTCAATGATTAGAGTTCTGGGAAACCATGGGGTCAGGAAGAGGAGACCTTGGCAATCCACCTGTCTAACTTAAGATGTTTGATTATAAGTAATTTCATGTTGAAGTGGGAAAGTTTATTTTGAATGCACGTTCTTCAGTTGTTCTAACTGCTTCTTCTACGTAAGTTTCAAGTCAAAATTTCCATTATTTCTTCATGAAAACTCTTGCCATCCTGGTGTTTCTCAACTTCCATGGCTGTCCAGTTGGTTTGTTAGAAGCCCTGTCTCTTATTTTATACTCAGAGCTGACTTGTGTCTTGTCAGCTTCATGGTATTTGGGGGACTTTGCTTAGTGTTCTTTCTTGAGTCTCTGTTGCAAGTTTAAAACATGGACCAAAACTACCATGGTGATGAAAGGGTTGACCTGCCTTACATGTCCTGATCACACCCATTACTGAGAGAAGTCAAGGAAGGAACTCAAGCGCTATCAGAGGCAGAAACCACGGAGGAAAGCTGCTTGGCAGCTTGTTAACTCTTGCTTGCTCAGCTTGGTTTCTTAGACAGCTCAAGCCCACTTGCCCAGGGATGGCAACACTCACAACGCATTGTTCAGCAAATAAAACATTGCCCCACAGGCTTGGCCATAGGCCAGACTCATGGAGGCAGTTCTTCAGCTGAGGTTCCTTCCTCCAAGGTGACTCTAGTTAACGTCAAGTTGAGGAAAAATAACCATCACCTTTAGTTATGGACTATGTGACATTTTTCTTGTTTATCTTTAAGGCATGGAGTATATTTTGATATTTCCATTGGTATTTACTCTTTCTTATAATTTCTTTCTTTCTCTCTCTCTCTCTCTCTCTCTCTCTCTCTCTCTCTCTCTCTCTCTCTCTCTCTGTGAGGGAGGGAGAGAGACAGAGAGAGGAGCTGGAACAGAGATGGATGCTAGAGTGAAACCTGTCGGGGTGGGCTCTCCCTTTCCATTATTTAGTCCTAGGGTCTGGACTCGGTCAGTTCTGCTATGAAGCAATTTTACCAACTCCCTTTTCTAGCACAGTCTTTACATTTATTGTAGACAGATATAGTGAGTTAAATAAACATAGATAGAAAATCTGAATACTAGGTATCTGTGACCTTTACAGGCTTCCATCCTTAGTTGCCAAGTTTATAGTCCTGTTACATATCACCGCTGGAAATTGCCATTTTAGAACAATTAAATTATATACTATGGGCAACAGGAGATGATTCCACCTAGAATACCTTATTAATCTGGTTTTGAGTCATGCTGGGGTACAGAGAATTGTTTCCTGTTATGTCTAAGAGACTAAATCTGCGTGGCAGAGACAAAATGGGGACCAAGGGACAGACAGAGGTGTCCTGTAGCCAGTCACACCCTTTTGGGACCTCAAGATGCCACTGGAGCTTTGGTCACAGAAAATTACTTTTAGTTTCTGGACAATGCTTTTGTGATATTTCTTGTTTCTACTGTTTTTAAAAATGGGTGCAGAAATTGTTATTTCTTTTTTTAATTTATTTATTTATTAAAGATTTCTGTCTCTTCCCCACCGCCTCCTCCCCTTTCCCTCCCCCTCCCCCAATCAAGTCCCCCTCCCTCGTCAGCCCAAAAAGCAATCAGGGTTCTCATCTTAGTGGTCCAACAAGGACTTCTTGAAGTTTGCAGGCAAATGGATGGAAATAGAAAACACCATCCTGAGTGAGGTAAGCCAGACCCAAAAAGAGGAACATGGGATGTTCTCACTCATATTTGGTTTCTAGCCATAAATAAAGGACATTGATCCTATAATTCGGGTTCTTAGAGAAGCTAAATAAGAAGGAGAACCCAAAGAAAATCATATAGGCATCCTCCTGAAGAAATTGTTATTTCTTAAGCATTTCAAAAAGAACATGAAAATGAAAATGGCAACCCAAGAGTTGCAAGCCTTTTATCCTGGTAAAATAAAATTATTAAAGTTTCCCTTCGTTGCCTTTTTTTCCCCTCCCACCTAAATAAACACATGATAATATTTTGGATACACACTTAAACATGCATTTGCCCTATTGGATACCTTTCAACTTAGAAAACCACAGGTGATAATCCACCCTCCCCCCAAAGGCTCACGAGACCTCTGATCCATGGCACACACGGCATGGAGCATTGATTTGATAAACGAAGGTTGCGGTTTTCTAGCTGTGGTCAGTAGAGTTTGTGTTTTATGCCATTGTGTTCTCTTGAAGATTACTTAGTTGAGATGACTTGTGTGAAGGTCTGAGCCTTGTGTATCATTTTACCCAGAGCAGCTCAGTGTTCTTTTACACTTCTAGTGACAAAGTAATTTCAGGCTTACCAGAGTTTTGTAAAGAAGGCAAAGATTTCCTGTAATTCCTTACCTAGTTTTCCCATTGTTAGCATATTACAGAACCATCATAAGATCATGAAAACTAAAAAGTACCTTACTCTTTGATGTTCATCAGTCTCCTTCAAACTGACACACCCCCCGCCCTCCAAAGGGAAGATGGAAGGACACTTAGGAAGTAAAAACCTTACAAGTCCTGTAAGACTGAAACATACAGGATCCACAAGTTCCCCACCCGGAGATCACAGGAATAGAAAACAGCTGTCCAGAGAAGAGCAGCTCTGCCCAGTGGAGCTTCCCGGAGAAGACTCTCCGATACGTGTTGCCTGGCATCCTATAGTGCAGCTGTCTTGAGCTGTCGCCCATGACTGGGTGGGCTTTCAGCGATGTACCTGCCTCTGAGCTGTCCACGCTCTTTTAAGTGACCCCAATAAACTTCTTCAGTTGCCAAGCTGACTCCATTAAGATGGCTACTTTGATCTGTAATCAATCCCCTGCCAGGGTTAATAGATCTCTCTTCGCATCTCCCCAGGAAAAGCTTCACATAACACTCCACTATTCATTTTTTAACTTGCCTAAATTAAAATCGACTTCATTTGGATTCCACTGATTTCTTTCCCTTCACGAATGTAGTTTTGACCAACTCGGCTTTGATCTGCTCTACTGAGGTGGGCTGACTGCAAGTTCTGTTTAGGACTGGATGACCACTGCTCTCGCCAGGCTCTCTTTCCCTTGCCCTCAGCAGACTCTTAACGCTGCTACCAAGACAACAACCTTCCTTCCTACAAGGTCAAACCACTCCCGAACCTTTATGACTGACTGAATTTCCATTATTGCTTATTTAAGTGGGAATTGCCCAGATGCTTTTTATTTTTACTTCACCTCCACAGGTGAGGAAAAGGAGGCACAAAGAGATGGACTAACTTGAAGCTGGTAGGTTAGAGTCAGGTGACAGTGGTAGGTATTCTTGTTCCCTGTATGTGGTGGTTTGAATGAGAAAAATTCCCCAAAGGTATTTGAACACTTGGTTCCTAGTTGGTGGTGCTCTCTGGAGAGGGTCACAGTGAGGTGCAGACTTGCTGGAGAAAGTGCATTGCTAGGTGTGAGTTTGAGAGTTTAAACCCTTGTCCCATTTCCAGTTCCTCTGGCTTCCTGCTTGTGGAGGGTGATGAGATTTCTCTGCTTCCTGGTCCTCTCACACAGCCTGCTATTTGCTGGCAGGCCTTCAGCCTGTCATGATAGACTCATAACCTTCTGGGACTGTGAACTAAAAGAAACACTCGCTTTTTGAAGTTGTCATGGTGTTTATGACACCATCAGAAAGCAGCTAAGGCTCTGCATAAGGCTTCCAGGTGAGTAATACGTACCTGAGAGAGAGAAGCTGATCAGCCTCCTACTCCCTTGACTTTGCGCAGTCTCTTCAGAGCCAATACCTTTAAAAATCTGTAAAAACAAGGAAAAATGGAAGACATGGAAAACCAACATCGAAAGAGATACTACACTGTAGTAAGGGGCATTGAGATTCTAACAAATGCAAATCAAAACAGCTCTGAGATTCCATCTTACACCTGTAAGAATGGCCAACATAAAAAACACTGATGACAACTTATGCTGGAAAGGTTGTGGGGGAAAAGGGAACACTTCTGCATTGCTGGTGGGAGTGCAAGCTGGTACAGCCCCTTTGGATGTCAGTGTGGCGATTTCTCAGAAAATTAGGAAACAACCTTCCTCAAGACCCAGCATTACCACTTTTGGGTATATATTCAAAGGATGCTCAATAGTGCCACAAGGACATGTGCTCAGCTATGTTCATAGCAGCACTGTTTGCCATAGCCAGAACGTGGAAACAACCTAAATGTTCCTTGACTGAAGAATGGATAAGAAAATATTGGTACATTTACACAAAGAAATACTACACAGCAGAAAAAAAATAATGACATCTTGAGATTTTCAGGCAAATGAATGAATATAGGAAACATCATATTGAATTAGGTAACCCAGATCCAGAAAGACAAATATCATATGTATCTACTCATAAGTGATTTTTAGACATAAAGCACAAAGAAAACCAGCTTACAAATCACAATCCCAGAGAACCTAGACAACAATGAGGACCCTAAGAGAGACAGACATACATGGATCTAATCTACGTGGGGAGTAGAAAAGGACAAGATCTCCTGAGTAAATTGGGATCATGGGGACCATGGTAGAGGGTTGAAGTGGAGGAGGGAAGAGAAAGTGGGGCGAGTAAAAAAAATGTATAGCTCAATAAGATAAAAAACCTGTACGTATTAGTATTAAAATGTTTCATTGTTGTAGATTATTCATAGTTAAATAATAAATAAATTTATTGGAATTAGATGAAATAGCCCTAAAGAAAACTGGGTTTAAAAATTGCATGGACAGGCTTAGCAGGGTCATATGCTCTTGGGAAGAAATAAACCTCATGTTCACTCTCAGAACATAACACGAAGAAAAGAGAACAAGGAAAGCTCAATAAAAGGAGATGAGAAAGGGCTGAATTCTGGTATTGAACATGAGTCATGAAAGAAGACAAAGTTAATTGTTTTCTTTTCTATTTAATTTTTTTCTCACTTTACATACCAAACCCAGTTCTCTCTCCCTCTTCTTCTCTCATTTTCCCACCTCCCTCCCCTATATCCCACCACCCACCCACTCCTCATAGGGAGGTAAGTCCTTCCTTGGGAAGTCTGGCATAACAAGTTGAGGCAGGACCAAGCCCCTCCCCACTATATCAAGGTTGAACAAGGTATCCCACCACAGGGAATGGGCTCCAAAAAGCCAGTTTATGCAGTAGGGATAAATTCTGGTTCCATTGCCAGTGCCCCCACAAAAGATCAAGCCACATAACTGTCACCCACATTCAGAGGGTCTAGTATGGTCCCATGCAAGTACCTAAACTGTCACTCCATAATCTATGAGCTCCCACTAGCTTGGGTCTGCTGTCTCTGTGGCTGTGGATCACTGCATCTGCTTCCATCAGGTATTGGGTGAAGGTTCTATGATGACAATTAAAGTAGTCACTAATTTGATTATAGGTAAAGGCCAGTTTAGGCATCCTCTCTACTATTGCTAGGAATCTCAGCTGGGATCATCCACATGGGAACATGATTAGCCTGACTGAAATATTGGGATAATGGCAAAGCCTGCCTTTGAGTTCGCAGCTGGAAGGGCATCTCTCCATTGTTTTTCATCTTAGACATTGCTTTCCCTTCCTACATGACTTTGTGGAATAGAGAACTTAAAACCACAATACTCAGAGAGCCTCATAAATATTTCATTAGCAAACAATTCTAAAATCTTTTAGTAAATATTTGGGTAGCACTGACTGACCTTTGTATGTTAATCAATCTTGAGTGTGATTTTAGCACAAGCACTCAAGTTTGAACTTACTGTTTTATCTGTCGCATTTGACAAACTGCTTCAAAACAAAATGTGTTCTAAATTTGCCCTCTGAGAAAGGCTAAAAGAAAGAGGCTTAAAAGATAGAAATTAAAATCTAGAATATTGTATGATTACTTCAGAACCCTTGCTGCCCTGGTATAGCTGGAATTATTTCATTTAGAAGCTAATTTTCATAACATTATGAATAAATAAGTCTTAGACTTGTCGCATCATGGGATTATGGATGGAATTTCTTTTTTGTGCTTATTTGGGTAATTACCAGAGACATGCTGCAAACTTAAGTGGATGGAAATAGAAAAACAGAATAAATTCACAAAAGACTATAAGGGGACTGGAAGGTGGCTCAATAGGTGAAGTGCTGGCTGCGGAAGCATGAAGACAGAGTTCAAGTGCTAGCATCCACATGCAAGTCCAGACATGGTGGCAGGCAGCTAGCTGTATTACCAACTCTGTGGACACAGAGACAGAGCTCTCAAATTTTCTGCTCTGAGGGCTCAAACTGCAATCCCAATAAGAGACTGTCTCTAAAAATAAAGTTAGTGGCTCCTGAGGATGTTGTCCTCTGGTTTCACGCATACCTATACTATCGTGTGCATGCATACATACACATGATCAGTCTAAGTGAAATATCTACTCAACATCCTCTGAACAGAGAGAGAACACATTTGTTTTTGTTTTCTTTTCTATTCTCAAAAGGCTCCTATGGTGGGTGCTACGGTTTAGACCTCTCTTGAGTGTCCCATGATGGCTCTACAGTAAAGGCTTTATCCTCAGTGCATGTGGCTACTGGGAAGCTGTGAAAGCTTTAGGTGGAAGACCTAGTAGGGAGATGTTAGGTTACTAGGAGTAGCCTTTGAATCAGCTTATTAGGAGGCCAACACCTTCTCTTCCTTTTACTCCCCAGCCATTACGGTAAGAACAATGCTCTGTACAATGTGTCCTTGCCTTCCATGACATTCTACCTCACCTAGGACCCCAAACATGACTAACCGTGGAATAAATCCTCCAAAATTGTAAATCAAACAAAACTCTGTTTAAGTTCTCCCCACAATGCTTGTGCCGTGTCCTGTGTTTCTGTCCATTATGTCCACCTCCCCAGCCTTGTGTTGCTTCCCTTCCAGGCCTGGCGGTTCCACTCACACTGCTTGTTTTAGCTTATACCTGACCCCTCCTTTTGAAGTCAACAGCCATGCTGCATTACTTTGTTACACCTTTCCTTACATGCTAGCACAAGAAGCTTCCTGCTCCAGCCCTGCGGGCTTCAGATAGTGTTATATGGGGTGGGACAGTAACTAGGAGCTCTCAGCTACAGGGCTTACAGTTAATTTACATTTACATTAATGTTTATAACCTCTTACCACAACAGCTTCTCATCTACCAAAATAGACGAGAATCTCAGAATATCAAGACTAAATTGCAAACTAATTTTATAACAGGGCCACAATTGCTGCCAATGGCACAAATAAGGGAGATGAAAAAAACCTAATAAATATTTAGAATTTATTGCTATTAAAATTAAAGTTTTGGTTATACCAATGGTGCCTTGGACATCTCGTTTTCCTTCCTAAACAACAACAGGTTGATTGTAGTCTAATAAGTTAACTCAACGGTATTTTGGACATGTTATAATGTCTATAAATAGTAACCCTTTCTAAAAATAAATAATGTACTACCAGCAATAATCAACAAGAAAGTAGATATTCAAAATTAATTGACCAACGGATTCAAAAAAACTTAGTTACATTTCCTCATTGAAGCAGTGTGCTTAAATCCCCAGATCAGATTACCAAAGCTTGTTTTAATTCAGAAGTTCACTGGATTGTACCAATAACTGGCATATGTTGCAAAATTAAAGCTAGGTTTGGTTTCTATTATAATACCATATGCTCAAAGAAACTACTATTTTTTTTAAAAAAATGATAAAACACTTAAACTTGTAGTCAATTGAGAAGGAAAAACGTTTGTTTTTGTCAGTCTTATTGTGCTAGAAATCAAGTAGAGAAATGCAAGAGAAACGACCCTGAAAACTGAGTTTTCATACTATCAAGAAATAAGAGCAAAAATAGCATAGTCACCCTAAAAATGAATTACACATTAAAATTTCCAAGAAATTCCTTTCCAGCACGTCCACCGGACCTCCTCATGCTCAGTTTTAATATCAACATCATGGGTCCAACCAACCACTTTCTGATTGCATTTAAGACTTAAACTCTGCAGGACTCAACCTATACCTGGAATCATTATCAGGCTAAGAACCTATGGCCAGACAAGTCATGGGCCCTAGGGGGAGACCCCACTATTAACGCTCTGTTAAATGGGCACAGTATTTAACTGATTCATTTCTTTTACACCCGTAGTCAATGTATCTCTCATTCTTCACCTGAGAAGTTTCTATTCCCAGTAGATGTAGTTGATTAACACAGTGACCCCACAACTGGCAAAGGTACGGAGAATAAGAGATCACAGCATGCTCAGTCCTAACGAAAACATGTATGCCATGGCCCACTTTTTAGGGTTCAGGGATCACTGTGGAAGAGGGGGCAACCATGAGGAAACAGTGTCTTCTTTACACATCAGGGAGCTGCACATATGAACTCAACATGATTGTGACATAACATGTAATGTCTATGCAAGCCCAGGCCAGATCAACGCTCAGTATGGAGTGAGGGGCTGAGCACACAATCTCATCCCAAGCTATGGAGCTCTTAGCATCTGTTAGCTACTGGGACAGGTAGAGTCAGTTTCCTCTAAGATTGTAGCTCTTGGTAAGTGGACCACTCTAGAGTGGAAAACCACACATTCAAAAATATTTAGGCATCCCAAGGGACTAACTGGGGACATCGCCTTGGGCTCCTGGGAGCCACTCTAGGTTCAAGTCTCTTGCCAACCCTAAGGTGGCTCCCTTAACTAGGATATGTGCTTCCCTGCTCCCCTATCCAACCTTCCTTTATCCCAATCTTCCTGTTTCCCCAAGTTCCCCCAATCCTCCCCTTCTCACTTTTCTCTCCCCGTCCCCCCTTATCCCCAACCCACCCCACCCCCAAGATC